AGATGGTATTATTATTATTATTATTATTATTATTATTAGCACTTCACTGTAGCACTGTCCTCCCGTTGTTCATCGATTTGCTTGAGCGGGCACCATTAACATCTCACAACAAATTGTGGGACTTGTTGGTACTGTTTTTGGCATATCGAATATGTCATAGGATCTTGCCAGGCTTTTCTGTGTGGGCGTGATAATCTCGGTAGCTTGCTGGGTTCTCCGAGAGGGACAAAGGGATCGAACCCCAGGTTGGTCACAAGCAAGGCAAACGCCCTACCCATCGTGCTATCTATCGCTCCAGCCCATTACTATTATTATTATTCAAAAATGTTAAAATCTCAAGTGAGCTGGCCCAGAACTAAAGGAAATGCGAGAGGGGGGAGGGAAGCTATTTCAGGAGGCTCAGATTCGGGGCAGGGATTTGAGGTCCTGGACAAGTGTTCGTCTGAGCTGGCGCAAATCTCTTGAAGAGTAACGAGAGATGGGACGGGCCCTGGCAGCAGAGGGAAAACGCCGAGGGAGAAGCACAAAACCAGACGCAGTGCTCTGAGACTGCCGGCCGCCCAGGAGGAGCCTGGAAGGAGTCGGTGTGGGGATGAGGGTGCCACGGAGGGCCACGGTGGATTCCCGCACTCCGTGGAAGCTTAAAGCTGCGGCATCCCCCCACTCTGGCCCCTTCCCTCCCTTTTTGCTGAGATGGGCACTATGATGATGACCACTTTGTGAGGCTCACGTGTTTAGTGGTGGCGGCCATGGGACTGTGTGTCCAACAACAGCGGCTCTGGGGCTCACTGAGGTTTGTGTCACTTTGGCTGTGGAGTTTGTGCACGTGGTGGTGCCGCATTCCTCACTGCAGCTGCCACACATCTGGATGCTCTTTGGTGCCCCTTTTTTTTAATTGTTGTGAGTGCTTTTTATTTTTTTCTTTTTGGATCACACCCAGTGATGCACAGGGGTTACTCCTGGCTCATGCATTCAGGAATTACTCCTGGCAGTGCTTGGGGCACCATATAAGATATTGGGTATCAAACTCGGGTTGGCCGCGTGCAAGGGAAAATGCCCTGCCTGCTGTGCTATTGCTCTAGCAACTCCCTCCCCATTTTTTTTTTCTTTTGGGGCCATACCCAGTGATGCTCAGGGGTTACTCCTGGCTCTGCACTCAGGAATTACTCCTGGTGGTGCTTGGGGGACCATGTGGGATGCTGGGGATCGAACCCCGGGTCAGCTGTGTGCAAGGCAAATGCCCTACCTGCTGCACTATTGCTCCGCCCCCTATGAGTGCTTTTTATGGAGCTCAGCCCGCACTTGCTGTGGGACCTGAGAGAGCGGGGCCAGGGCCCGAGCGAACAGGGCAGCCAGGATGGTGCTGGTGTGAGTGGACCTCAGGAATCTGAGCTGCCTGATGGCACAGATGCTAAGTTCTGGTAGGGTCTTTGAGACTCTGACAAGGATGATCTGGAGTGGCCAAGGGTTGGCTGAAATCGTTGCAGGGTTTTTGATCCAATAACACAGGAAAGTGGCTTTGGGGGGATTTCTATCCAACTGAGAGGGTGTCTGCAGCTGAATTAGTACAACTTTTAGGAGCTGGAGCGATAACACAGCGGGTAGGGCATTTGCCTTGCACATGGCTGACCCAGGTTCAATCCCCAGCATCCCATATCCCCCACTCCCCCGCACCACCAGGAGTAATTCCTGAGTGCAGAGCCAGGAGTAACCCCTGAGCACTGCCAGGTGTGACCCCAAAAGAAAAAAAATACAGCTTTTAGCTGAGCAGGGGTCCAAACCTGACATGATGGGCACTCATGTGGGTTACTCCTATTCCGTACTGGCAGCTCAAGCCTGACCACAGGGGGCAGGAGACACCCCCTCCCCCCACCACCAGCCTCTGACACAGGGCAGGGACAGCTGAGAACATCTTGGCTCCCTCTGGACTGAGCTGCAGCCCCCTACTCCCCACTCAGATATGGGGTCCCTTGCATAAATTAACCAGGAGGTCACACACTCTGTTGTAACACTGAGGACCCACATACCAGTGCCAGCACCGGGATTGCACTCCGCATGTGGGTTGGGTTGGGGAGGGCACTTGAGGCCTTGTGCTTTGGAGACAGATGCTTCTGCACTGACTCTGCCCCCAGCGCCCTTCCCCCACTCTTCCTTGTCTTTGTTCTGGCTGTGCTGAAATGTTCACAGAGGCAGCTCATTGCAACAGAAGCTCTTTGGGGTCACTAGTGGAGCTGGGGATGGGGTTGCTGGAGTCTCCCAGGATCCATGTCATGAGGAATGGCCAGGCTAGTGGGTCTGTCTGGTGGCAGGGTGCTGAGCATCTCAGGGGTACTTGGGGGCCACCATGGCTCCAGCAGGGGTGTCTGGAGAGTTGCACGGAGCTGGGACCAAACCAAATCCTCATGCATGCAGGCCAGTGCTCTCCAGCCTGAGGGTCTCTGGGCCTTCAGCAGGACCGAATACTGGAGAGGTGCAGCTCCGGGGAGCAGTCAGGTTGAAGATGGGGGGTGGGGCGGGTAGCAGCATCTCTTACTGTGTTGTCCCCAGCTTCACACCACCCCACATCCTTAAGGTAGACCTGGCTGCTTCTGTCACAAAGCAGCACCCAATGATGCAGTGCTCCAGTGAAGAGCAGATGGCCAGGCCAGGCAGCATACCTGGGTCTAGGCGTTTGTTTGCCTTGCCTGTGGCTGACTCAGGTTTGCAGGAGCGATCCCTGAATGCTGAGCCAGGAGTAAGCCCTGAGCAATGCCAAGCGTGCCCCAACAGCCAAAGATAAACAACCAAAAGAGAGAAACAGAGGAAAAAATACGAGAAATGAGAAGAAATAAGGGGCAGGAGCTCTGCTATTAATCACATCCAACAAAAGGCATCAGAGAACGTAAATGCAGCTGAAGACTCTGTGTGTGTGTGACGATGTGTGCGGGCAGGTGGAAAGATGCAGGCCACCGAGCAAGTTTCTTTCATCTGCTCCACAAAATGTTTACAAAACCTGGTCCGATGCTGAAACAATGCTTCTGATCGTTTAAAACACTTTGGTACCATTGCAGAAAAGGAGAGGAAGAATTTATAAACTTTTGAGCCATTTGAGAAAGAAATTTTTTTCTGTTGCAAAAAAAAAATTAAAAACTGATATTTGTTTAAAAATATCTAATGCCAAGAATGCTGTTAGTATTTTTTTATGGCGACCCGAGACCATTTCTCTAGTACAAGCTCCTGGAAGTGGAACTTCTAGGCCAGTGAACATCTTCAAATGTAAATAGAGATTGCGGAGTCGTCTACATTTCCATTTCACTGACAAATCCAGCCCAGTGCTGACACCTGCCCACTTACAGCTCTCCACACACCAAGACCATTGTTCCTTTGAATCATCCCTTTTCACTTAGTGGGGTGAAAAATGCATTTTGTCTTCTGCAAATTATCATTTCTTTGGTCTCTTTTTTTTTTTTTTTGCGTCACACCTGGCGATGCACAGGGGTTACTCCTGGCTCTGCACTCAGGAGTTACTCCTGGCGATGCTCAGGGGACCATATGGGATGCTGGGAATCGAACCCGGGTTGGCCGCATGCAAGGCAAACGCCCTACCTGCTATGCTATCTCTCCAGCCCCTTTGGTCCTACCAGAACCAGCCCGCCAGGGTTTCTGTTCTGATTGACTTTTTGTTTTTTAATTTTTTTTTTGCTGAATGGCTTGTCTGGAGGTGTCAGGGTATGGACCAGCCCATGCACCAATCCTCTGAGCCATCTCGCTGGACCCTCCAGCTGGTTGTTCTGAGATATATATATATATATATATATATATATATATATATATATTAGCTTTTTGGGTCACACCCAGCGATGCTCAATGGTTACTCCTGACTCTGCACTCAGGAATTACTCCTTGCAGTGCTCGGGGGACCATATGGGATGCCGGGGATCGAACCCGGGTCGGCTACATGAAAGGCAAACACCCTTCCCACTGTGCTATTGCTCCAGACCCTGAGTCCTTTATAATAGATTCTCAACACCAAGCATTGTCACATATACAGACATGCTCAGTCAATGGCTTGGCTTCTCGTCATATCATCTTATAGGAACTACCTCTGAAGCCAGAAAGGAGCTTGACTTGCTGAGCACTGGCTACTTGCTTTGTGAGCAGGAGGTCTAGGTGCAACTCCCTAGTACCACATGGTCCCCAAGCACCGCCAGGAGTGACCCAACAACAAAAGTCATTCTAACCTATGCATCATCTCCTTTTGGGTCCCAGGATAGGCGTCTGGCTTTGGGAAACTTCCTCCATGATGTGCTTTTAAAATGCTTGCCGTTTTCTTGGCAAGAGACCACTTGTGGCATTTTTGGTCTCTTAACACACAGATTGTTAACCCATTGGGGATTAATTCTGGTCAGGGCGCATCATTGGGTGCTGACTTTTGCAAGTCACCAAGTGGGGTGTGGCAGGATGCCCACAGACCTCTGCCATCTGCTACCACCCAAGCTGAAGGGGGCGGGGCTGGGTCTGGTAGGAACCTGCCTCTACTCCCCAAAGACTCCATCCCTCCAGTGGAAAAGAGAAGCAAGGCCCAGATGAGGGTCTCCCCAATGCCTGAGAGCTGAGGCCATGTGCAGGGGACCCTCAGGAGACCCAACATGTTGTATGTCCCTGTGCAGGCTCAGGAAGTTCGGGCTGCACATATAACTTAGAAACAAGATGCAGAGCCTGCAAGCATAGGGCCACAGGACCACGGGGACCAGCCCAGACCTCCTGCCACCACACAGGTCACTGCTTGGATGGAGATGAGATGTGCAGAGCCCAGTGAATGGGAGCGCTGGCACCCAAAGGGACATGACCTGTCCAGGTACACAGACCTCTGGTCAGTTCTGGGGCTAGGCCTGAAGGTCTGGGGTGTCTGGGACATGTGAGGAGCAAGGACATGTGAGGGTGCCGAGTCAAAGCAGAGAGACACTCAGGTCACCGAGGGACAGGAGAGCCTCTCCGTCCCGGGGTGCAGCGGGGCCTACCTGCTCCAGGGGAATGACCAGGAAGGCACCGCCACCTGCGCTCTCGGTGACGATGGCCAGGAAGCGAGCATTGACGGCGCAGAAGTGGTTGTCGTGCACGTTCTTGGTGATGGGGACGCCATCGAAGCAGTGCTCCCGGCTGGCCACCTTCCCGTACACATTCCGGAACTTGGAGCTGCGGTACTGCGGGCGCCAGGACATCTGTGGGGGAGCAGAGACCGAGTCAGAGTCTTAGGAAGGCGGGGGGATCCCTGCAGTATATGGTGGTGGGGGTGGGGGGTGAGGCAGTAAAGCTGGGTCCAGGGCTTTATTGTTCTTTGTTGTTGGTCAGTTTGGTTTGGGGCCACACCCGGCCGTACTCAGGGGTCATTCCTGTGGGGCTTGGGGAATCAGATGGGGTGCTGGGGATTGAACCCAGCTCAGCTCTGTGCGAGCAAACACCTTACCAACTGAACTATTGCTCAGGTCCAAGGCCAAGCATTTGAATCCGGCTGGAGACCCACCTCCCCCAGCACCAGTGAAAAGGGAGCACAGCCAGTGTGAGACTCTTATGTGAGAAGTGGGGGGGGTCCCTCACTGCCCCCCATATATGGCACAGCTCTACCACCAGACAAGCCAGCCCTGGAGAGCCTGTGCTGGCAAGCAGAGGATGAAGGGGTGACCGCAAGGTGGACAGGCCCCGCACAGAGCCTGTGATGGAGCGGCCTGGAGTGCTCTCCCCGCAGACAGACACACATCCAAGGGCCATGAGCTTCTCTGAGTGCCCGCCTGCCCGGTCCTCGCCAGCCAGGTCTGGCACCAAGCTACTGTCCCTCTCCGACCAACCCTACCATGGACCCTGGTCTCACTCCCTACACCCACCAGCACAGAAAGACCGAGTGCATCTCATCAGTGCAACATTTTTCAGGGCCAGGAGAACAAACGGAAATGCACAAGAATCAGGAACACTCGCCCCAGAAGTTGGCAGCAAATAAAACTCGGCATTGGAGTCCAATAAAGCCCTGAGTTCCCCCGCCGGTCTCCGTGAAGGAAGCAGAGCACAGTCAGTGTGAGACACAGGCAATGAGTGACATCCTGGCCAATGCCTCACCTCTGCCCACCTGCTTTCTGGACACCCCCTCATACACACACACACTCACACACACTCACACCCACGTATTCACACACTCATGCACACACTTGCACACATGCACATTCTTGTATATATTCTTATACTCACATATCACAAATATACACACATTTGCACACACATATACACAACACACACATTCTCACACACGCACATTCACACAGACTCACACTCATGCACACACACTCACATACTCTCACACACACTTACATACACATGTACCCACCCACACACTCGCACACATACTCGCGCACACACACACACACCTTCCCCACTTCCTAATGTCATACTCCACCTCCCTCCCAGCCTCTGCCGTGTGCCCCCAGCACCCTGGCCTTCCCACTTCTTTCTCTGCCATGCTCTTCCCAGGACTCAAGTCCAGCACCCCAGGTGTGAGGGGCAGCCAGGTGGGGCCTTCCTGGCTGTGTGACCTAAGGCAGACTCTTCTGGGTCAGGATCACACCAGGCCTGGGCCCCCGGGTTCCTGGGACAGGCCATCCTGTCCCATCCCTGGCCATCCCTGCAAGTAGCTTCTTCTGTTTGGTTTGTCTTATTGACAACGCAACTTGTAGGTTGAATCCAGGATTTCACAGATGATGAAAATTCCTGGGTCAAAGTAAGCTTGTGTCAAAGAGAAATACTATGGAAAAAAAAAACACAGCAAAAAGGAAGTCATGAAGTTTCCTAATACATGGATGGACGTGGAGAGTATCATCCTGAGTAAAATAATCAGAGGGAGAGGGATGGACATAGAATGATTGCATTCATTTATGAGATATATAAAAAAACATGGTTTGAGACTAATACCCAGGGACAGTAGAAACAAAGCTGGGAGGACTGGTTCGTAGTTGGAAGCTTGCCACAAGTGATGGGGAGCAGTTAGGATAGAGAAAAGAACAGTAAGACAATAACAGTTGGAAATGATCACTTTGGACAAGAACTGAGTGCTGAGAATAGGTAAAGGAATATACATGATAGTCTTTCAGTGCCTATATTGCAAATCGTTAGCCCAAAAGGGGGGGAGGGGAAGAGAGAGAAGAAAGAAAGAAAAAGGGAGAGAGGGAGGGAGGGAAGAGGAGAGAAAGAGAGAGAGAGAGAGAGAGGTCTGCCATAGAGGCAGGCAGGGGTGGGGGATGGGGGTAGTGGCTGGAGGAAAACTTGGGACATAAGGTGGGAAATGTACACTGTGAAGGGATGGGATGGGTATTGGAACATTGTATGACTGAAACCCAATCATGAACAACTGTAACTGTTTATCTTACAGTGATTCAAAGGCCCACTAGGGATGGGAGATGCATGCTGAAAGTCGACTATAGACCAAACATGATGACCACTTAATACCTGCATTGAAAACCACAATGCCCTAAAGGAGAGAGAGAGTAAAAGGAAATCCGTCTGCCACAGAGGCAAGGGGGGATGGGGTGGTGGTGGGAGGGATACTAGGAACGTTGGTGGTGGAGAACGGGCACTGGTGGAGGGATAGGTACTCAATCGTATGACTGAAATGTAAGCACAAAAGTTTGTATGTCTGTAACTGTACCTCACCGTGATTCATTAAAAAATTTTTTTTAAAAATAAGGAAAAAGACACAGAGACCTGGCGAACATTCAACCCGATATGCAAGTGTTGGGATTGACCCAGCTCGACCTGAGAGAACATTCTAGTTGCCACAATTCCCTCACAAGAGAAGTGACTGGGGCCCTCCCTGGCTGGCTGAGCTAGCCTCTCAGTCCCTCACAGAGGCAACTCTGGTCTGAAATGTTGTCACCAAGACTCTACTTCCAGGCATCATTTCTAGTTACTAAAATGCTGTCACCCCTCTGCTCAGGCCAAGCCTTAGTCCCGACTGCCAGCCCGTGGGGTCCTCTCCTGGTTCCGCGCTCATCCGGGTCACAGGTTCTGCCTTTGAGAGGGGAGAATTCCACTCTGATGGGTCAGGGACCGGCCTGGGGCTGCTGAGCAGGACACACCGCAGCCTGGTCTCCTCTTGGGCCTCAGAAGGTCCTGATTTGGCAGGTAGACCTGTGGACATCTCGAGGGGCCCCCAGATGGGGAGAAGATGATGTAGCAGCAGCGGCCAGGCCAGCCTAGGGTCGGGGTGCCCTCCTGAGGCCAAATCTGTGCTTGTTTGGTTTTTGTTTTGTGTTGGGACTGAAGTTTCAGCCCAGTGACCACCTCTCAGGCTGGGCAGGCCTGGGACAGCAGCCTGAAGTTCAGGCTCTATGACCGTCTCCTTGGTGCCTGGTCAAGCCTCTTAGCTCCTTGGAGGCCCAATTCTGTCATGGGGACACCAGACTCATCCACCTTCACTGGGCTGCAGCAGGTCCTCGCTGTGCCCTGGACGGCTTGGGAGTGAGCTGCCCGCAGGGGCGTCCCGGCTCTGAGCTCCCCATGGCCTGGCTCTCAGCCGCGGCGTGGGCAGGAGACCAAGAACCCCAGAGCCTTGCAGACGGAGAGCCTGGTCTCCCTTGAAAGCTGAGCTGCACCCCATGGAGGTCTCACTGTGGAGCCACGGGCCCTCTCTTCTGGCACTGGGCTGTAAGTCACCGGCCACCCAGCTGCCCCAGCCCTGCACTGGCCCCCACTCCTCTCCGGGCCCCTGAGTCCACCCACTCTGGCTCAAGTCCCCAGGACTCGGCTCTCAGGCCAGGAACACCGGACACCCTCTCTGACAGCACCAGTGGCCCCAGCGCCTACCCCGCCACGGTCATCTCTCAAGCTGTCCAGAGTACAGTGAGGGTCTGCCACAGACCAGTGAAGGTGGATGGGGTGTGATGTCGTGTGACGGAACTGGACTTAACTCTAAGGAGTTAAGAGGCTAGCGCATGGGGCTGGAGCAATAGCAGAGCGGGTAGGGTGTTTGCCTGGCATGCGGCAGACCCGGGTTCAAGTCACAGCATCCCATAGGGTCCCCTGAGCACCGCCAGGGATAATTTCTGAGTACAGAGCGAGGAGTAACCCCTGAGCAACACCGGGTATGACTCAAAAAGAAAAAAAAAAAGGGCTTGCGGAAGGCGCCAGTGAGACGGCCAAACTTTAGCGGACAACATAGCATACCATGCCACTTTCTGGCCAGAGCCCACCCAGCCTTTGCCTCTGGGTACCCGCAGACCCTGCACAGGAGGAGAAACAACCACAGAGCAGGCAGGGCTCAGGTGTCAGAAGGAATCCAAAGGGTCCTCTCCGGGCTCCACTAGTTGGTTGCTGTGTGATTTTATACCAATTCCTCAACCTCTCTGAGCATCAGTTTCATCATGCGTAAAATGAGAGTAATGTCAGTCAGCTCACTAGAGGTAAGAAAGCAACATGTGGGAAAGGGAGGTGCTGGCCACATGGTTCTACCAGTCCCCTTCCCTGGAAGGAGGCCCTGGCCCCTCAGAATCCTTTTGTGCAGTGGCCAGTTCCACTGGGCAGAGAAAGGGCCCTGAGGGACAGGGCTGAAGGGTCAGGAGGAGGAGGGGGTCACTCGAGCTCCATATGTGCAGCTGCTGGATGCTGCCCGGGGCCTCTCCTGGGCCCAGGACCATCCTGTCTCTTCCCAGACGGAGAAGTGCTCATTTCGCAGCTGAGTGGCTTCCCCACCTCCTGGGAAACGGAGCTGATGACCACGTCCACGCCACACGGAGCAAATTGCAGCGTGTCGTCAGATCCCAGCGTGATTTCTGGGGCTGGTGGGCACATTTGCTGCAGGCCACTGCGGAGACTCCAGGCCTTAACGGGGCTGCAGAAACGCATATGGGCAGCTTTGCCCTCCTGTCTCAGGGACAGAGGTCAGCAGGGGCAGGAGTCCTCAGCCCCTGGGCACCCCATCAAGTGTGCCACTCTCTGGGCAGAGAAAGATCAGTGTGTCTGGTCCCGTATGGGGGTCTCAAGCTGTGCAACCAGGGGCAGCCTCCCCCTGCCCAGGCGCTGTGTCCTCTGGGTGGAATGTGTCAGCCAGGTCCTGGAACCCTCACTCAGGCGGGTCCAGGGCCCAGAGCTCTGGCTCCCTCCAGGGAGAGGCGGGTCCATCCCCAGCATCCGCATGGTCTCCCAATCACCTCCCAGCACCATGTTCTAGGGCAGAGCTGGT